ACGCTCTAGCAAAAAGGTACATTTACAAGTTGAGACAACAAAGATAAAACTAACACGCCTTGCCTGGCTGTTTACTTACAAGTTTGAAATATGAGAGACTTGTTCAGAAAGATTTGGAGAGCCTGGATTGATGTCTGGTCCCTCTCAGACCCAAGAGCGAACAACCCCCAAAACAAAGAGCACAAACAAAAGCCTTCCCCCCACCAAGATTTGAAAGTATCTTGTCCCCTTATTGGTCCTTTGGGTCAGATGCCAGCCAGGTTACCTGAGCTTCTTAACCCTTTACAGGTAAAAGGATTTTGGAGTCTCTGGCCAGGAGGGATTTTATAGTATTGTACACAGGAGGGCTGTTACCCTTCCCTTTATAGTTATGACAAAGGAGGTAGGATGGGCAGATCACAGTGAAGTTAGGGCAGTCCCGGGTTTACAATGGTGCCATTGGAGCCGGGCCCATGCTCAGAAGAGGCCCCAGCCTGCTCCACTTGCACTGCGCTCCGAGACCCCGCCAGCCCACTGGCTTCCCACCCCCGCCCACCGCTTGCTCCTCTTGGCCTGCCCACCAGCTGGCCGAGGGCTCCTATCTGCCCTCTGGCCCCCACCCAGCTCCTCTCTGCCCCCTGGCGGGACCCCAGTGCACCTCCAGCTCCAAGCAGTCTCTGCTTCCCATAATTTATGGGGCCTTGCCTGTCTCCCTGGAACTGAGCTGCCTAGGAATGGTGCAGATGTCTGGCCAGTCTCGGTCAGTTTGGGGTGGGGACAGTATGGGGGGCTTGGCTGGGCCCCTACAGGCAAGTGGGTCCTGAGGGAGTCTGGCTGGGGCAGGCACCCTGGCTTGGCTGATTGCGCCACTCCAGAGGGGCCGGAGTGATTCCCCACCCCGGGATTAACCCTGGCTGCGCTGCCAGCTCAGCCTGGCAGACACAGTTATCTCCCAGCAGGGCCAGTGACTGCGGCCAGGAGGCAGGGCGTGGGGGAGTGGGTCTCTGGGGGGTCTGGGGAGGTGTGGACTGTGAGGGGGCAGGGATGATCTGTGTGTTGGGGCACTAGGGAGTGGGGGTTCTGTGTGGGGTTCTGGGCAGTTGTGGTGGGGTTGTGGGCAGGGGGGTGCTGGGCAGGGGCGGTGTTGTGTAGGGTGTTGTGCATTTGTGGAGGTGGTCTGGGGAGGCGCTGGACATAGCGGGTCCGGGGGAGCTCTGGCCATAGGGAGTTGGGGGGTTCCAGTGTTGGGTGTGGGGAGAGGCTGTGTGGCATGGCATGGGCCCGCCCCCCGAGGGGAAGGGGCATGCTGGCAGCAGAGGGCTGGGTGGGCCACTGTGCATCTGGCAACTGCTGGTTTGTAAATAGTGCCCTCACACTGGGCTGGGCGGATCAGAGAGGTCTCTGCCATGCCATGCCCCATTGCCCCTGGCTGGCCCCTTGCTCTGGGGACTGATCTCCCCATGCCATGCACCAATGCCTCCATGGGGGCCCACAAATATGTTTGGAGCCAGGCCCACAAAAGGTTAATCCGGCCCTGGTTTAGGGGAGTGCTTTGGGTGAAAGGGTTGCGGTGTGATTAAAGTGAGAAGGTTATAGTGACAATAGAGTAAGGGATTAGGGTGAGATTGGTGAAGGGGCTTGTTACTGTGAAGTTTGGATGAAGGGGTTGGGATGAGGTATTAAGGCTTAGGGTTTAGAGAAGGCGGATAGGGTGACATTATACACAGGGTATTACTTGGAAGCGGTTAAACTTAGGGTAATGTAAAGGTTAAAGGATCAGAGTGAGCTTAAGGTATTGATTAAGGTTATAGTGGTACTGTGAGGTCAGGCTCATGCCCTATCTGTTACGGCAATTATATATCCTAACCACCCCCTCCTCTGCCTCTCCTCCAAAAGACCCCCCAACCCTAGCAGTGATATAGACACATTGCTAGCTGGAGATGGTAAAAATGTTACTAATGATGCAGAAAATGCAGAAGTGTTAATAAATACTTCTATTCTGTATTTGGAAAGGAGCAGGATGATGTACTCATATCACTTGAGGAATAGATTAACTGTTTTCCAGTCCATTAGTAACTAAGGAGGATGTTAAACAGCCTCTACCAGGGATAAACATTTTAAAATTAGCACCCAGATAACTTGCACCCAAGAGTCCTAAAAGAGTTGGCTGAGGAGATCTCTGGCCCGCTGATGTTAATGTTTGATAACTCTTGGAATACTGGCAAAATGCCATATGACTGGAAGAGTGCTAATGTTGTGCCAGTACTCAAAAAAGGCAAGCAGGATGACCTGAATAACCATAGGCTAGTTAGCTTGACATCAATCCTGGATAAAATAATGGAAAAGCTGGTACAGGATTCAGTTGATAAAGAATGAAAGGATAGGAATATAATGAATGCCAGTCAACATGGTTTATGAAGAATAGGTCTTATCCAACTAACCTGATTTCAGTGTTTGATAAGATTATAGGTTTGGATGATAAAAGTAACTGTGTAGATGTAATAGACTTGGAGTTTTGTATGGTGTTTGACTTAGTATTTCATGACATTCTGGTTAAAAAATTGGCACTATACGGTATCAAAAATTCATAGATTCCAAGACCAGAAGGGATGATTGTGATCATCTAGTCCAGGTGTGGGCAAACTTTTTGGCCCTAGGGCCACATCTGGGTGGGGAAATTGCATGCATGAATGTAGGGCTGGGGCAGGGGGTTGGGGTGCGTGAGGGAGTGCGGGATGTGGGAGGGGGTGTGGTGTGCAGGAAGGAGCTCAGGGCAAGGGGTTGGGGCAGAGGAGGGGTGCGGGGTGTACGAGGGGGCTCAGGGAAGGGGGTTGGGTGCAGAAGGGGGTGCAGAGTGCAGGGGGGCTCATGGCAGGGGGGTGGGGTGCAGGGGGGGTGTGGGACGCGGC